GCTCAGGCTGCCTTATTATAGGGATGGCCCTGTGTGTACAACTTATATAATTACAAACTACACAGAAAACATCCACTGATAAGGCTGTAATGTAACATGAGGTATATCTTCAATGGCAACTCAACTTGGTGAATTATACTATTTCTTTGAATAGACAATAGCTCTGATGATTTTAATGAACAGTTCCCTATAATCCAAACTAGTAATTCAATGTACAGTTAGAAGAAAACATCAGAAGCCTAAACAACTAAGGACCGCTTAGAATACGTTTGGCTGCTAGCCAGTCTTTGTAAAAGCAACACAACATATTATCAGCATCAGATACCTTTCAGCTCAGATCAATTTTACAATTGTTAGAAGCTCTCCAGACTGTATAATTATGTCTCAGTTTAGTACATTTGTAACAAAAAGTCCTTAGATCAGAAAGACCCATAGCAGCAGATGTTAGTGAAGATCTCAGTTAGGCCTCATGCACACAGGCTAAAAAGTGCCAACATGCAGCAAGAATCTGAGGATTCACCTGCAGTTAGCAGTGCCATATCTAGCTTGTGGCAGGCAGGGCACGTGCCATGGGTGTCAATTTTAGTTTAGGACCTCAAGTCCATGCTGACGGGAGGTCTGCATGGGGCACTGTTCACACATCTAGGGGTGACCTTTGTTGTACCACGTCGGATCAATGCAGGCCACCACAAGGACATAAAGAAAACAATTGTTTTCTATGTGTCCCACTCACACCACAAATCAGGAGTGATGGGCAGGGAGCTGCAATAAAATGCAAGCATACTGCATTTTATCGCAGCGCAGTGGATGGTACTGCGCTGCCCTGCGGGGACCTGAATGGAGTGCACACATTGTACACTCTACATAAAATTGTGCACATGAACGCTGCATCTCAGCGAATGGGCTTGTGCAAAGTTGGGCAAACTCTGGCCCTCCAGCTGTGGTGAAACTACAAATCCCATGATGTATCTGTCTCTGGGAGTTATGCCTGTGAGAATCTTGCAATGCCTCGTGGGATTTGTAGTTCCACAACAGCTAGAGTGCTGGGGTTATGGGCTTTACACACTATATAGGAAAGGTATAATAATTTATTCTAATGTCCTAGTGTTTTGTCTGTAGGCAAGAAGAGATGTTTCAATAATAGCCTTACATATGTTTTTTTATCCATATCTGGAAATAAAGTGGTTTGTGTTTTCACCAGTTACCTAATGGTGGCCCACATCCAATATTTTATTAGAGCAGTGGTCTAAACAATGTCTTTCAAACAAAAAAAATTATCTTATGATAAACCAGGTGTAAACATTAGATACATATTTTTTTTTTTTTAAATTCATATTAGTGGATCGCGGGATTTAAAATGATGAATTTAGGGGTCCATGAGGTCCGAAAGGTTGGCGGCCGCTATCCTCGATTATTTACTTTTCCTGCCTTCTCCAAACTCTTCACCCTTTTGTGAATAACCCTATTAATATACACCGAGTGGCCAGATTATTATGGCCACCTGACGTTTGTAGGCAAATTAGCTATTATTTCACTATGAAGTTGCTAGATGGCCAGACCATTATAAATAGGGAAGTAGGTTGTTTACCACGACAGTAGAAGTTATTTTTTTCTGAATATATGGCTAAACAACGCGATTTAACAGCCTT